CACATGCTATGTTTCATTAATCCGTGTACCCGTGCTACAGTGAACTACCAGAGTTATCTCCATTTAAAGAAATAAAATCCCTTATTGAAAGCGACACAGCTACTGAGTGTTGAACCCAAACTTTGAACCCAGACAGTCTGGTTTGAGACATTCACTTTTAACCTATGCTGATTCCATTTAATGCTTCTTTCTCAGTGCCTTTCAAATACTACCTTACAGTATACTCAAGGCATCCTTGCTGAAAGGAAATATTTGCTCAAGGAAAAAAATAAAACAATTAGAGCTCATCAGAGGAGGGAGTAAAAGATGCAGCATAATGTCTGCAGTGACTGTGTCTTCCTTGGTTGGACTGTAGTCTCAACTGAGTGGGGTACGGGGGGCGGGGATTTTACACAGCACTGTGGAAGGAATCAGGGTGCTCCCTCCCTGTCCCGTAGGTCAAAATCTCCGAGTTAGGTCACAGCTTCTCCACTCCAGCCACTCCTTAGCCACACGCATGATCGCCCCTCCACACGTGGGCTGTTGCCAGCACTGCTTACAATGCACTGTCCTTTTTGTCTACAGGACAACTCTTAATCATTGTTAGAGTGATCACTTGATCAAAGATCTCCACTTACCTATCATTTTTTCTGACCTTCACTTTGCCGCTCTGGATTCAGAAATAACTGTCTTTTCACATTTCAGTTTCCATAATTGTTTATATCTAACTGCACCCATTTTGCAGTATAACTATGTCTTTACCATCTGCTTTCTCCACTCAGCAAAGAGCTCTTTGAATCATGTTCCATTCATCTTTGGGTCCACGATACCAGGATGCATCCTGGGCGCTCATTAATACACTTGGGCTATGATACAAATTGGGTTTCCTGCTTGATGTACTTGTCCTTAGTGTTCAGAAGCTCAGCAGGCCTGCAGGGGTGCCAGGGACCAGAACAATTGGAGAATGTGGGTTATCTGTACCTCTCATCTTAACTGGCCATTAGCTTCTTCATCCCAGGGAGGGTCAACTTGATTTAAAGGCGCAGGATTGAAGAAGGATATGTCATGAACTTGACTAAATGATTCTCTTAATGTGTCAGCCCATCTGAACGGTCCTTTCAATTTTAACTCTTCCATCAGCCAAACAGCTTACTCAGCTTTTCAGAAGCCCATTACTTGATCTGAAAACACTGACAACATTTTGGCTTCCAATCTGACTTTCAGCCTGTTACAGATAATGCGTTTTCTCTGGATTAGGTGAAGCATCTTGGTTGTATTGGAGAAGCATCAGTTATGTCTCTGTCTTGGCTAGTATCAGCCAGAATTGGGAGCGTGCCAGCTTTCACTTCATTGCTAACAGATTCCTTAATTAACCTGCTAAATCTAGCGCACAATTCACTTGTTTTAGAAATGAGATGCATCATATGCACTTTTTCTTCCACTATACCTTTTTTTTCTTTTAATGTGTTCAGGGTACTAGATAGTTAAATTCTCTGGGGCTGTGCGTTAAACCATTTCAAGAGTAGCAAGGATTTGCGAAACACCCAACGGGGCTTGGTTTCCTTTGACAAGACTTACTATTGCCACATTTACCCCTTGATAATCGAATTCTTCTTCCATCTAATATTTAAATAAATCAACTCACTTAATCTAAAGTGTCTCCCTTCCTTGTAATGTCTCTCTTCTCATAGACTACTATTTGCAATGTGAACGGCTGGAGTGTTCCTTAAGGGAGTTTTCCTTTTCTGGAGGTCTAGACGGCGAGCGTGGAGGCTGTGCCTTTTCATGCTTCTTGGACTGTGCGTCTGCGTGCCTCCGTTTGTCATGCCGGAAATAAATTTGCTACCTGTGTTTTGACTTCATGCTTTTGCACATAGTGCCCCAAATTGCCACTCCTTGGGAGACTAAGCCAAGGACGTTGTGTTCCATTTTCATGATGAAATGCAGATTTTCCATTGAACCTAATCAACCTTCATTTCAAAAGGTTGACAAGGCGGATACTTAAAAGAATTCAGTCGGTTAAATTTATGGTACTGAAAAGAGTCCATTCCAAGAATATTCTCTGTTTCTGAAGCTATAGAATTTTTATTTGATTGTGACTTAAATTACATTTTCATTCACTTCAAGTTCTTCTCAATTTTGTGTCTCTTAAAGAGAGACAAACTTATTGATGTTCAGGTTGGTCTCTAATATTCTGTCCCAGATTGAAAAGATCTACAGTCTTTTTTTAATTGAAGTATAGTTGATTTACAATATTGTGTTATTTTCTGGTGTACAGCATAGTGATTTGGTTATATATATGTGTGTGTGTACTTTTTCATTATAGTTTATTACAAGCTATTGAATATAGTTCCCTGTGCTATACAGTAGGACTTTGTTGTTTATCTGTTCTATATATAGTAGTTTGTACCTGCTAATCCCAAACTCGTAATTTATCCCTCCCCCTGCTTTTCCCCCTTTGGTAACCATAAGTTTGTTTTCTATGTCTGCGAGTCTCTTTCTGTTTTGTAAATAAGTTTATTTGTATTATTTTTTAGAGTCTTCATATAAGTGATGTCATACTATGCTCTGCTTGACTTACTTCATTTAGCATGGTAATCTGTAGGTCCATTCATGTTGCTGCAGAAAGCATTATTTCATTCTTTTTTATGGCTGAGTAATACTCCATTGTATATGTATGTGTGTGTATGTCTATGTATATTTGTGTGTGTATATATATATATATATATATATATGTATGTATGCATACACACACACCCCCCACATCTTCTTTGTCGTCATCTGCCAATGGACACTGAGGTTTCTTCCATGTCTTACCTATTGTAAATGGTGCTGCTTTGAAAATTGGGGTATGTGTATCTTTTTGAATTAGAGTTTTCTCAGAATGTATACCCAGGGTGGGATTCCTGGATCATATGATGACTCTATTTTTAGTTTTTTAAGGAATCTCCATACTCTTTTCCATAGTGGCTGCACCAATTTATATTCCTACCAATAGTGTAGGAGTGTTCCCTTTTCTCCATGCCCTTGCCAACATTTATCGTTTGTGGAGTTTTTAATGATGACCAATATGAGTTGTGTGAGGTGATGCCTCATTGTAGTTTTGATTTGCATTTCTCTGATAATTAGTGATACTGCGCATCTTTTCAAATGCCTATTGGCCACCTGTATGTTGTCTTTGGAGAAATGTCTATTTAGATCTTCTGCCCATTTTTGGATTGAGTTGTTCGGTTTTTTTTGTTATTGAGTTGTATGAGCTGTTTGTAATTCTGGAAGATAAAGCCATGTCAATCATGTTGTTTGTAAATATTTTCTCCCAGTCCGTAGGTTGTCTTTTCATTTTGTTTGTGGTTTCCTTCCCTGTTCAGAAGCTTATAAGTTTGATTAGGGCCCATTTGTTTATTTCTGCTTTTATTTCTGTTGCCTTGGGAGTATAGTCTTTTTAAAAAACCTTTTATTTTTTTATTGAAGTATAATTGATTTACAATATTACATTAGTTTCAGGTGTACAATATAGTGATTTGATGTTTTTATACATTACAAAATGATCACCATGATAAGTCAAGTTACCATCTGTCACCTTACAAAGTTGTTATAATATTACTGACTATGTTGCATATGCTGTACATTACGTCCCAATGACTTGTTTATTGTATAACTGGAAGTTTGTGCCTCTTAATCTCCCTAATCTATTCCACTCATCCTCCCCACCCCTTACCCTCTGGCAACTACTTGTTTGTTCTCTGTATCTATGAGTCTGTTTTGTTATGTTTGTTCATTTGTTTTTTAGATTCCATATAAGTGAAATCATATGATGCATTTCTCTTTCTCTGACTTACTTCACTTAGACCAACACCCTCTAGAGCCATCCATGTTGTCACAGATGACAAGATTTCATTGTTTTCTATGGCTGAGTAATGCTCCTTTGTGTATGTGTACCTCGTCTTCTTTATCCATCGACCTATTAGTGGACACTTCAGTTGCTTCCCTGTCTTGGCTATGGTAACACTGCAGTGAACATAGGGGTGCACGTGCCTTGGGAAGATCGGCAGTCTTGCAGCAAGGCTTCCATGAGATGATTTTTACACCAGCTGATCTAAGATTTTTGCATAAGAGAGCGTGGTATCTCTGTAGTCAGGAAGGGGAGCTAGCGTACTCTGAGTTATTAACCATGTGCCAGGGACTGTGTTAGATTTTAACATGTGCTAAATCATTTTTAGCAACTATGTGGCTGAGTGCTATTGTCCCTGTGTCACAGATAAAGGTGTCTGAACTCAGAGAGGCTTGTAAGATCTTTGCCTAAAACACAGGTTCTAAGCAGAAGAGGCAGCATTCAAACTAAGGCTCGTCTGTCTCCAAAGCAGCTTGCTTTCTCTTTATTCTACCAAACTCTGCCTTGAAAATCTTTGATGGTGTGGGCGGCACTTGGAATATCAGAGGAGACAAAACTTTTGCCCACTTACCCTTGCTGTGACTTCAGAATCCCTCTCAGCACAGCGTTTATGTGGCTGTTACCAACCAGTTAGTGTTACTATGCACGTTGAGAGTTATTTGCCATTCCTATCTCTAAAGTCATCTCCAAAGCCGGCAAGTAGGGACTTTATTCCTCAACCATAAAGATCAAAACCCCAACCCACTCTGCCAGAGAAGCCGCTCTAATGCAGGCGGGGATGCTAACTCAGAGAGACCTTAAGTATGAAGTCCTGTCTACCCAGAGAAGCAAGGTGGGTGCCACCAGGAGGCATCGATGACACAAACAAATGACACAGAATAAAATCATTTTGTTTCCAATTCAGCCAATTTTGAGTTCCTTCTGACAAGACGTTCATTAACTTTGGACTGATCCCAGAAGGGTGTATCAACCAGATTTCTCTCCCAGTCTTATTCAGTCTTTCAGGTTAACTTAAACGTGATGCATAATCATGCATGATTTACATACTTTGTCTCACATGGCTTGCCCAGGCTTCTTCACATCATTGTGTATTTGGTTACCCACCCAGAACCCATTTTCTCTTTTCTAGATCACAGCAGCATCCCTTGCTCACCTCTCCCTCCAGCAACTTGAGCATCCTTGTCACACATCTTGGGCATCTGGCCTTCACTACCGTGGAAGATTTGTGCAGGAGTCAGAACATCCTAGACTGTGAGTGATGTATATGGCTTGAGTCCCAAGGTCAACAGCGTGGTTTTTAAGTAACATGAATAGTAAAAATATACATGCTTTGTTCCTTCACACACACACACACACACACACAATTGTTGAACACTTGACAAATAATGTCTGTATAACTAGAAAGCTTATCTTCTATCTTTAAGTCAGCCTGCTTCTAAGCTGGGTTAATGTTATCAACAGAAAGGCCTTAGTTTTTCTGAAGTCTACAATAGACTTGATTATACGAAGTTGAGGGCACAGCCCTGGGAGCCAAGCAGAATCGCTTTGCATAATAAAGGAGAAAGAAAGTTGAAGTTTGGGGGGTAAGGAAAGATCTAGGAGTAAGGAACAGGCAAAAGGGCAGGTGCGCACTTGTATTCAATACAGCAAAGCCCCCAGGACTGACGTGGTTGAGGAGGGGATTTGCGGTCTAGCTCTATTCTAATGGGAGCACTTAAGAAGTTTACGGTGCGGGATCATGTGTAAAACTCCTACTCCATCACTTGTTGGTGCCAGCGCCAATTTTAGGGTGACTGGAGTCCTTTGGTGGAACTTGAACAGGTGCCGAGTTCTCCCTCCAGGATAAGGCAAAAATAGGGGGGGAGTCGGGTTGTGTGAAGGAGCTGTAGGAAAGGCAGTGGGGGGCTCAGCAGCTTTAAGAGAGACATGTTAGCGTTTGTGTGGGATTATTTGAGTTAAGGTTATCTACTCTATCAAAGGTAGCCTTCCCCATCCTCGAGTTCCTTGTCTCAAGCAGACAGCACTGAAAATTTGGCCCCATGACTAGTATGATTCTGGATGCACTGGAGAGGAGCTAAATTATTACATACATGGGATGCTTCAGTGCGAGAGGTGGCAAACTACTGTTGGAGGCCAAATCGAGCCCACTGCCTGTTGTTATAAATAAAGTTTTTATTGCAACATGCCTATTCCCATTTGTTTATACATTACGTATGGCAGCATTCATGCTATGATGGTAGAGCTGAGTAGCTGGAACAGAGAATGGACAGCCCATTGTTTTGTATTCTTTATGAGATGGTCAATCAGGCACTGCCAGAAGAGAAGACAGAGCAGAGATTCAGGAAGCAGTTGATGATTCCCACGGGTCCTAGAGACAGGAGGCAGGACGTGCCCATGGGGTCACGTGGGAAAAACACCAGGTGGTCAGGAAGCAGCAGACAGGAGGAGGGGGAATGCTTAGGCCACCTGCCGCTTTTATTGGGGTTTCTTCTGGAAAGGAAAAGCAGGACAGAGTGGCTAGTTTGCATAATTTCAGCAGGCTTTGGGCCGTTGGGGTGATCTCTAAGTATCCAGTACCTGGCGCTGGGATGATTAAGGCAGAGGTGTACTGCCTCCGGGGTGCATGGAGGCAAGGCCCTGCAGCACTTGGTTTGCCTATAGAAGGTTTGCTCCTGGCTGGGCCCTTACTTTCTCTAAGCACTGGCTAGTCCTGGGAGGAGCAGTCTCTCCCCAGCCAGAAAGACTTTTTAAGATGCCAAAACATCATAGTATGCAAAAGAAAATATAAAAATGCATACAGTGAACCCAAAAAACCTAAAATTATTCTATCTGGCCTTTTAATAGAGTTTGCCTGCTTAAGGGCAGTTGGTCTTCATAAGGTCATAATTTTTTTAGGAAATCCCGGTTGAGAAAGGCTGACCTAGTACATCAAGTAGCATCTTAGATTAAACAGCCAGCTTAGAATTGAGCCAGGAATGTGTCCTCACCCAGAGTGCCAAGCTCTCAGATACACACTACCAGGGAGTGGTGGTTAACTGTACAGATGAAGCTGGCTTCCGCCAAAGATGATAGTTGAGATTTGGTCATATCTGCAAAAATCTAGACTAAAAAGGGAAACAGCATGGTTGCAGCTTTGCCAGGATGTCAGTCAGTTGATGCCATGGCTTATGAATTTAAACCCAGCTGGGAAAAAAAAAAAGTCCCTTCAAAGAGTCTATCATGGCCATGAATTAATCAGAGGGAAAGCTCAAATACATATATGCAGTCCCCTTTCTCAGAAAGACAAGGTTCTTCTAAATTTAGACATATGCATTGGTAGCAACCACAAGCATCAGTTTTATCTGAGACCTCGTTTTTACCCATCCTGCATATATAAAGCTTCTTATTTGATTTTTTTTCCCCCACTGCAGTCCTTGCCCCTGACACCTGCGAGCCACATTGGGTGTGAGCTCTGTTTAAAGAGAGAACCTCTTTGGGGCCTCATGTGCAGGTATCTGTCAGTCCTGTGCTTCAAAGGCCCCACCATTGCCTTTTCTTCTGGCATTGTTTCATCAATTTAAGGTTTTGACCCTTGAACCGACATCCCTTTTAGCTAGAGCATTACCCTTGGAAAACTCCTAAACAGAAGTTGCAGCTGACACTTCTGAAGTCTGTGCCCCTGAGCACATCTGCCACGGGGTTCTTCTTTTTCCTCAACATTTGTGTGTTACGGGCCTTAAGCAACATTTCTTTCTCCCATAATTTTTTCCTGCAGTAATGGGAGAGGCCTCTAGTACTTCCTTTTCCTTGCTGGTTGCCTGTACCTTCTAGAAAGGCTCCGTGGAGTTTCTGAGCGTTTAACCCCTTTTATAGTTTGTTCCACTCCTTCTCTGCCACGTGGAAGGCGGCGGTGTTTACAAGACTATGCGTTCTCTCTCCTCTCTGCTTTTTGATTTCTGGTCTAGACAGGAATGATACTCAATTATTTAACCTTCAGTATAGCACCGGCACCAGCCAATCAAAAGGGATGCTGACTGTAAATAAGGCTTATGGGCATGTGTTATGTAACCGTGCATTCTAGCTGAATATCAGTCCAGCCCCAGACATTGGCTTTTTAAAAATTGATGCGTATCTATTTTTTGCCTATGGAAGCCTTTACAGTGAGACATGAAAAGTCAGTGCCTTCTGGTCAATAACATCATCTATTGTTCAAGCAAATGTTCTTTGACTTCCCAACCTTGAGTTGGTTAACCTCACTCAGGAAGTGTTATTGCAGCAGGTCAACATCTAAAACAGTCTGGGACTACTTTTTTTTTTTTTTTTGTAGTCGTTGTCTTTCCCAGCTCCCTGTTAGTAGGTTTTATTTGTTCCTCACATTCCCGTGGAGGCCAGATTTAACACAATTTTGAGCAGATTCCAATAACCGCCCGCCTGGGTGATGTGCTGGAGCTGGCTCACATGGGCTCACGAGAGCTGATTGTGCACATCTGTTCTCAAATCTGTGTGCAGTGGTATTGTGAGCAAGCTTGAAACCAGCCGTGTACGGAGTTTTCGTGTCACAGAAATTGGCAAATGCAACAAATAAGGTTATTATTTTTTTTTCCTGGAGAGTGGATTGCTAAATAGGAACCATCACAAAACCTTATCCCCATCCACAGTGGCTGAGTTGCCTTGAAACTCACCCCAGTGATGTGAGGAGTATTTATGCTGGTCTTTTGTAAGTTGTCTAATTTTTTTTGTCTGAAATCCTTTTTATAGCTTTCCCAACTTTTAAGAGTGGTTCCCCAGTTGTTTTTACAAGTAGAGACAATCTTCAGCTTTAAAATGAGCAGTTGCAGGATCCAGGCTCCCTTTGGGAAACAGGACAGGCGAGGCTGGCCTCTTGCTCTCTTGTTCTGTGGGGCTGCTTCAGACTGTAGCAACTCTTTTGCGTCTAGAACAAAACTTCCCCTCTGCTTTTCTGATGTTTTGAGCCATTTAATCCAGGAGCATCTCTTTTTTTCCCTGTCACATCTGTCTTTTGGCCCCCAAGACTGTATTTCCACATTCAGCTGGGTCTAGGCAGTCCTCTGTGATCTCCTGAGGGAGGCTATCCTTCCTCCTCCTGGAGCTCCAGGTGTGATAAAAAGATGATGTGTGTTTTTAAAGCAAATTCAGTTTCTTTCCTGAGCAAACTCGATTCCTTGAAATTCTTCCAGACACAGGTCTTTTTAGCCTTTGAAACTCAGTCACTGATATTTTTTCAGTTCCTTAATCCAAGAAGATATTTTTAAAAGAAAGCTTCCCACTCTTTAAAAAAATGGGATAATAAAAATCTACCCTTTGAGGATGTGATGTAAAGCATGGTGATTATAATTAATACTATTGTATCATACAGTGAAAAGTTGCTAAGAGAGTAGATCTTAAATACTCTCACCACAGAAATGAAGTGGTAATTAGGTGATGCGATGAAGGTATTAGCTTGTGCTTTGGTGGTAATCATATTGCGGTATGGAAGTATACCAAATCAAGACTTGTACACTTTAAACTTACACAGTGTTATATGTCAGTTATATCTCAATAAAGCTGGAAAATAAAATAAAATCCACCGTAGGTCTTTAAAACCTGAAGTCATGCTCAAAACTTAATGTGATTAATAAATCTAAAGCCAACCTGATATGACACAAGAATATCTACTGGAGACCTATGAACATGCTGCATAACTTAGGAAGGTAACCCCTCCTCACTTCTCATACTTGGCTCTGAATGCAATTCAAAATAACATAAAAGAACTAATTTCTAGCATGTACCTTTACCTCTTCTCTCCTGGTCATTTTCAAGTTTAAGGTCAAATACCACCTCTATAAAGACTTCTCTGATTCCCCTGATGGTCTTTCCTCTGAAGTTTTCGTCATTCTGTTTAATTACACTTATACTGCATAATAATTCTTTCAGTAATTTTATTCTCCTACAGTACTAGGAAGTAATCTTAGACCAGAACACCTTTAATTTTTTTTCATTAATTTATTTATTTTTAAGTTGAAGTATGGTTAGTTTACAATGTTGTGTCAATTTCTGGTGTACAGCATAATGTTTCAGTCATACACGTACATACATATATTTGTTTTCAGATTCTTTTTCATTATAGATGACTACAAGATACTGAACGCAGTTCTCTGTGCTACACAGTATAAACTTGTTTATCTGTTTTACATTTAGTGGTTAGTATCTGAAAATCTCTAACTCCCAACTTATCCCTTCCCACCAGCCCCTTCCCCCTCGGTAACATGAACATTTTCTATGTCTGTGAGTCTGTTTCTGTTTTGTAAATAAGTTCATTTGTGTCTTTTTTTTAGATTCACATATCAGTGATATCATATGATATTTTTCTTTCTCTTTCTTTCTTTCTTCACCTAGCCAATGACAGTCTCCAGTTCCATCCATATTGCAGCAAATGTCATTATTTTATTCTTTTTTATGGCTGAGTAGTATTCCATTGTATAAATATACCACATCTTCTTTATCTAGTCATCTGTTGATGGACATTTAGGTTGTTTCCATTTCTTGAATATTGTAAATAGTGCTGCTATGAACGTTGGGATGCATGTATCATTTTGAATTAGAGTTCCTTCTGGATATATGCCCAGGAGTGGAATTGCTGGATCATATGGTAAGTCTGTTTTTAGTTTTTTGAGGAATTTCCATACTGTTTTCCATAATGGCTGCACCAAACTATACCAGCAATGTAGGAGGGTTCCCTTTTCTCCACAGTCTCTCCAGCATTTATTATTTGTGGACTTTTGAATGATGGCCATTCTGACTGGTGTGAGGTGATACCTCATTGTGGTTTTGATTTGCATTTCCCTGATAATTATTGATATTGAGCATTTTTTTCATGTGCCTATTGGTCATTTGTATGTCTTCATTGAAGAATCGCTTGTTTAGGTCTTCTGCCCATTTTTAGATTGTTGGTTTGTTTCTTTGTTATTAAGTTGTATAAGCTGTTTATATATTCTGGAAATTACGCCCTTGACAGTTGCATCATTTGCAAATATTTTCTCCCATTCTGTAGGTTGTCTGTTTTGCTTATGGTTTCCTTTGCTGTGCAAAAGCTTATAAGTTTAATTAGGTCCCATTTGTTTATTCTTGTTTTTATTTGTATTGCCTGGGTAGACTGCCCTAAGAGAACATTGCTAAGATTTATG